TATGCTTATTTCAAAGTTGCTAAGGATGAAAAAGCAATTTGAATTCATTTATTATGTCATTTCATTTCATTGTATTTTTCATTTCTTATGTTGGATATTTCTTTTCTTAACTCATTTTCCTGTAGCATGTCGCTAACGTAATGATTATTGCTAATCTGTCCATTTTGTTGTGCGGATTAGAATTTTGGAGATTAATTTAACAAAAACACTTGATATCCTGAATTGAGCTATCTTCAAGTATTACAACAATGTGTCAAAAATGCGCAACACAACTTCAATCAAACTAAAAACCTTACTTCCTTCTCTACTATATTGCAGTGGTGGACAACCTTTTTTTATACCACTACACACCTTGAGGGTAAGTCATGACAGAAACCGCACATGGTTCATAGATTATCTGCAAGTTTTTTGAGGGATACTAGTGAACCGCGGAACATGGGTTGACCATCACTGCTCTATTGTGAAATTCCTTTCAAAAGAAATGAGAAAGAAATGTTTCTATTAGTATTTTATTTTCTATTTTCTACATACTTTCCTATACATTCATTTTGAAATTGTAATGTAAAGAGAATAATGTGAAAGCATCTCTTTCTATTTGTTTGATGATGATATCATGGATGGAAAGCAGAGGAAAAAAAGATGAAGGAATTTTCCTTTTGTTTCACATCCCCATCCTTCCATGTTTTGTTGTGAAATGATTATAAAAAATGAAAATAAATTGACTATAGTTTTATTTCCACTACTTCTTATGCTACTATCTCTCAAGCCATTCATTTTAAGTCTCTCATGATGAGAAATGAGATGAAATTTATTCCATTTTCATTTTTTCTTCTTTTCTTCCACAGTCATGAATCATAATTTCCGAAAATTGTCACAAAATGCTCTTCAACTTTAACCCAAACAAATCATATATAAGTCTGAAAATTAATTGCTGTAAGTCTGAAGTGACAAAGTTTTGCTTTTTTTTTTCACTCCTTTGTTGGCATCATCATTGGAACATATATTTTATGTATATGCTCTTGAAATATTGTAGACACATTTAATGCTTTCCAACTTTCAGCCAATAGAAATAATGACATGCGCTACTCAAGTGTCTGAAATGATATTTATCAATGTTGTCGTTTGTCTTTTTAGCTTCTTAGATTTTTGCAAGAGTGTGGAACTGATTAATTATATTTTGATCATTTTTGATCATTTAATCCAGTTTTAAAGAAAAAATATGTAAAGTCAAAGTGTGCAGTGGCTGAAAAAAGTTCGGACACACTCATTTAATCAGTTCCACACCCTTGGGTTTTTGTCATGTATTTTTGCATGTTTTTACAAAGATTTTTTCATCTTGTGACAGTTTTTTGGCAATCTCCTTCTTGCATTTAGAGATATGACATTTGCATACTTCAACATGCTTCCAAGAATTATTTTTGATCTTCAGCAAAGAAAAAAAATATTTTATTTAAATTTATTAACAACGTTTCTATCTAACACATGGCATTTTAGGTACAGAGCCCCCCCCCCCCCCTTTACATCTAGTGCAAAAAATCTCAGTTTTTAATAACATGACGACGGAAGGTACATGACATACAATTAAAATTTTTTATACAGCAACTCCTTGTCAGCAACTTATTAATTTAAACTTTATTTCTAATCAAGAACGTATCCAGAAGGAGGGGAGAAGAAGGGGGGTTAACAATTTAAACAGACGGTTGAGGTTGGATTTTTCTCAAGGAACTCCAGAATTTTTTCCAAAAAAAATACGCTTCCTCCAGCCTACGCTTTTTAATCAAAAGTAGAGATGCGATCTGTTACAGAAAATCACCTGTTACTGTGGTAGGCAATATTTTTGTTGCCTGTCACAGGTACAGGTGACATATCCGTCACAGATATTGATATGCCCACAAGTACTACATATCTGTGTTAAACCTGTGCAGATCAATATCTGTGACGGATCTTTCACCTGTACCTATAACAGGCGACTTGTATTGCAACTTCGATCAATAGTTCCTTATCTCTTCATGTTTTATTAAGTTTAAGGTAATAAAATTTACAAGTTTTTGTGTTGACTCTTCCTTTCCCTTCCTCATCTCAATCAAAATACTTCCCTAGAAACTATTTTCATCTAATAACAATTCAAAAGTCAAACGACTTGATCTAAAATATTAACCTTAAAAATTCATAATTCACACAGCTTCTCAACATTACCGAACAGAACTTGCACATCATTAAATTTTCATGCAGAAAATAATCTACAAAATTGAGCTTCAATAAAACATATTGAAAAGATTACAAAAAAGTTCAAAAATAAAATTTTGTTCAAAAATTTTAAAAGATGAGAAAGTTTTTCCATAGCAGCGCATTAAATTCATCCTCATTTGTATTCAAATTATTCATAACTTTTTTGCACTTAATTAATGGCACATACAGTTGCTACAATTTCCTCTGTTTGAATTATTCAAAGTATTAAATGCAGAAGGGGATGGAAAAAAACAGTTTTTAAGGAACATTAAAAATGGCATAGGAATGAAGGAGCAACAAGAAGATGAAAACTTAAGTAAGTGGATGGAATTATAAAGTCACCAGGGGCTATTTAAGTATTAAATTATAAATTGTGCATACACGTCTTGCTTCTACTGTTGCTCTATTATCTTAATAAAATAATGGCACGATAACTTTAGATTGCAGACATGGAATTGCAAAGAATGTTTCTGCATGCACGAGAGTAAGAATTAAATTTTAGAAAGTGCTCTTTTCACACCAAAACAGGAATAAGGAATGAAAAATTGTACAAGAGCATGTTAAAAAGGCCCCAAACCCTCATCATACGAAGAATCGTACAAAAGTGCAAAGTGCCAGTTGGTGAAAACTTGTTGCATTTTTAAAGAATCTTCCATTCCTTCTAAGGAGAAATAAGGCAAAGATTTATAGTTGCTGATTCCCTCCATTGCGTCTCTTTTTCTTCTCCTTAGCCATTCTCCTTGTTTTCCACTTGCTACTACAACTATCCTTTCGTCTTGCATGCTTTTTATGCTACTCACATAAATTTTCTCCTTCTTACTACTGTTTTTTTTGTTCTTACAATCTGTGTGTTTTCTTTCTGTTCCATTCCTTACCCCTTTTCAGAGCATCTTTTTGAAATATTAAAATAAAATCTTTTTAACAAAAGTGTTGAAATTTTATTTTTTTTTTTTTACAAAATAGTTGGCATTTTAAACCCAATTAAATATGCTGCCCATGGCACTTCCATTTATAATTTTTTTTTATTTTTGTTCTTTAGAAGTTTGGGTAAAAATCAAGGTATGGTGTCATTAAGGAATTTAATTTAAAACTTCGATCCTGTATAAAGGCAATTCTGTTCAGAAGGTAGATTAAACAGTTGAGAGGTCTGGGCTCCATTGGATCTATTCTTACTTTTGGATCAGGAAAACTATGTTGTCTTTAGTATCAAATTGTGAGAGGACTTAAGTCACAGTGTGTGCTTTGGTCAAATTTGATTCTTACCGCTAGAAGGGTACTAGATATGGCCAGGAGTGCACTTAGAAGAGAAATCTTCCCCCGAATAACAAATCTGTTAATAGAATAGACATCCAGCATCAATCTTGGGAAACTCTGACATGGTGCTTATTTTATTAACCGACTTATGCTTTTCGGTTCCACTCAACACGCATAATAAATCTTCAATTTGCTACGCTTTTCAAGAAAAAAAATCAAAATATTTTCTGCCTTGGTTTTATTCGGACAAAAGATGTTAAATCCAGCCCCCCTCCCATTTTCCATTGTAGAATGCAAATTTAGAGTCTGAGCCCTCATTAGGGCTGTGCCCAGTTAAGTTTCAAATTTCAGGGAGGTCTAACGCATCTCTTAACCAAAGATTGTAAGAAAACTTTATAAATGACCTCAAAAATATAAAATTCAGCCTTTAAAAAGCTTAATAAAAATACAAATTGATTACATCCCTGAAAATAATCTTTAAAAATCCACACAATTGCTAGACACTCTTGTAAAAGCAATTAACTTACTGCTGATGTCGCTTGCTTGTTACCTCTACCATTATTCCGGTTCCAAGTTTTTCATTAAAATGACGTGAACAGTTTTCCTGTGAAAGTTTTTTTAAAATTAATTAATTTCTTAGTCTCTCTTCTTTTACCGTCGTTTAATCTATTACTCGACTTTTTGAAGTGTGATGAAAGAAGAGAAAGATAAAAATTTTAGGAGACTTGTTTTTATTCAGTTTGGAACTACATAGTTTGGATGCAAAACTTACTTACATACTTTCTTGGGTAAGGCGCACAGGGGACCGTTGCTGCATTCAGAGTTCGTCTATAACTGGCTCTATCCTTTGACAACTTCTCTCAGTTCTTAATTTCCACCACATTTGCATTGTTGCTTACACAGCCATTCCATGAGTTCTTTGATCTAACTAGAGATCTCTTTTTTAAGGCCGTCATTCTTAAGCACTAGCTAAGAGACTTAAAGACAGAACCGAACTGGATTTATCAATGACGACCAAAGCTTAATGGAGAAGGATTAAAGATTTAAGACTTAACAGTTAAAATGTCCGCACACTTGCAGGACCGGGAGCGTAGTCAGCATTAGTGCTTGAGCTTTGGCTCTCCAGGTGCAACATCACAGCTATCAAGATCTTTTACCATCCAAAAATTCAGCTGTTGTTACTTTCAGCACTATCTTTATACAATCATAAACCTTGTCATAGCTGTTGATTGAGTTTTCATGGTCACATCCTCACGATCTACTTTAAATACTCACATAATAGTTCAATATGTTTTCGTTTGATAATAAAATTACTTTAGCACTTAACAGTTGTAAGTCGATTGACATTTTACGAGAATTTCAAAGAAAATTTTTTAGCCTTAATGTGAAAAAAATGGCAAGTAAATAAATTAAACTAATAATTTTTAATAAAATTGTCGTGACTGTAAAAAAACTTTTATAGCTTCAACTTATCATATTACTATAAAATCGGCACAACTTAAAATAATTTTCAGTTTAAATTTTATAACGAAACGACAAAGTTGAAAATCATTCTGCAAAAAATGAAATCACAAATTTTTGGATGTTTAATAATTATTTTGGCTTATTCCAATTTCGTGCTTCGTGGTAGGTTTAAAAACTTATTAATTTTGTTTGATTTAATCTTCATTAATTTGCATCATTATTAATGGCTTGGTATTCAATAAAATCCATTAATATTAATCCTCTGATGTTAAGCGATTAATGAAATCATTAAAATTAAAGCTTAATAATTTTTTTCATCCAAAAAAGATGTCGATGCTGGAGGTGAAACATTTTTGTCATGTCCTGACATGTCAAGTTTCTTCAACATGTCAATGAATGCCTACAATTCAACAATTCAAACCTACGCTCAGGAATTAATAAATATTTTGGAAACTCATGCCAGTGTCAATGCATCACAGCCATCATTTGACTTCAACAGCTATGCCAATGCAGTTTTCTTCACATATCAAAATAAAATCAGCACAGCAACTTATATGTTCTTTGACGCGTTATCTGCTTTTGTTGGCAGTGGAGTCTCGTCTGATGATTTAGCTAATATAATCTTTGGGGATACTCTTCCTGATTATCCACTTAATTGTGTCCTGAATATTCATGATCCATTCTATGCATATGCTAATTTAGACACAAGCTTGAATGACTTGTTGGCAAGCATAATTAGTGCTCATAAAGTTTAATTGTTAAGGAAATAAAAAGTTTAATTATTGAAAAGAGAAACAATTTCTTATAATTGTTATTTATTGACATTTCCAGCTTCATATTATGAATAACAAATTTTTAAAGGCAATATCTTAAACCAGTGGTGTCCAACCTTGTTTGTGGAACGGCACGATTGGTTATAAGCGCTGACCAATACCTCACACAGCATACGGTTCGTCGGATATAGCAATTTTTTTCACGGAACACTAGTGTGCCGCGGAACACGAGTTGACCATCACTGTCTTAAACATCTCACTGAGAAAGCCTATCATATCGTCAAATTTGATCGTTCCAGCACTTCAATTCATGATATTTGTTAGTTCTGTAAAATGAAAACAAATTGTTAAACGTCATTCAAGTAAAATAAGGTCGAAGGCTCAGGAAAAACAATTAAAAATTAATTTAGGTCACTTGGAAATGAATTCGAAATTCGTGGATAATTTACAATATATTTTTAATAGACATTCTTAAATAAATTTTCTTTTAAAACTTAAGGCCAAAAAAAATAAATAGAAATGTAATAAAGGTAAAAATCAGTTCGCTTTCAAGGTTTAGTTATTTCCAATGTGTTAAGGGAGTCATTCACTTATGACGTCCATCAAAACCCATGATTTTTAAAAAACCCTTCTCATCCTGGCCTGTCAAAAAATCCTTGACCACACATCTTAAATCTCAGACGTCAAAAATCAACGATCCCAAGTAATTTTAATAATATCACACTTTGAAATTTGAGGCATGATTTTAAAGTTTCTAAACTCTCTTCTTATAAAATCAAAACATAAATTTGACTGTTTTGCATATAACAAGACTTAAAGCTAAGCTGCTGACTGGAAAGTTGAGATCCACTATTCTTTATCCTAAAAAAATTTATATGTGTTTAATAACATAAAGTATAAAACATGCGATAACAAAAAGTAAAAATACCAAAAAAATTACAAGTTAAAAAGTCTCAGAAAAATGGTTCCGATGCAACAATAAAATGCTGGTCTAAAGAGTATGTTACAAAAGATTCTGTTCTAATTTCAATCGCAGTGCTTTCAGCTCAGAAGGCTAGCCCATGCTTTGCCTTTTAAATCTCAGGAAAGGACATTATAGAAGCGAACTGCTGAGAAGACCTAATGTTATTCAAGTGTGCCGCGGCACAGTTTTAGAACCCCTGTTATAAAACAGTAATGATCAACACTATAAACAGTGAAAAAATTCAAGAAATCCCACGAGCCGTATCCCTTGTGTGATTTAGATTATGGCTGACCAGCAAGGTGTGCCATGACACTAGAGAGATTGTGAACCACTATAATATAAAGCGTCACACAGGTCGAATCTCATTCTTTTTCGTAAACATGTGAGATTTTTAAAACATAATGCAGTCTTTCTCAAACTATACTCCACGACACATCACTTTGTAGCCAAAACTTTTGAGGTTGGTTTCTATGGCAACTTTGGATTTTGAGAAACCTCTGCTAGTCTTAGAAAATTACCCCAGATGTTACTCTATAAGTCGTGGGCCAAAACGTTTGAGAACCACTGCCGTAATGGTTTGAGAGGCTGTTCACTTATGACATCTGAAAGGGGGGAGGGGGGGGGGGGGTCAGCAAGAAAAAAAAAATAGAAATTCCTGGAAATCCATTGTTCTTTTTTGAAAAATGATCTTTAATTTCGGACGTCATAAGTGAACGACCCCTGATATCAATTTCGAAAATTTCAAGTCAGATTACAGGCAGTTGTGTAGCTTTAAGTTGCGTATGTTATTTAAGATAAGCTATGAGACGAAGCTTAATGAGAAGTGATGAGAAGCTTAAAGACTCATCACATTCGGGACATTCAACCAGAATTACTCCTGCACAGCTCAAGTTTCTATCAAGCATGCTCTCAAAAAAACTTCCGACCAACACAGCTTGAAAAATATTTACAGTTTATAAATGTAAATTTGACTTTTCTCTATTCTAAAAGTATAATTTACATTCAGCATATCTACGGCACAAGAGAGAGAGAGCAAAGAAGGAAGAAAGCTGGAAGCATTTAAACGGAATTTACTTCAATTTATTACCATTTTCAGACTATCAGCAACAACATAGTTGTTTTCAGCTTATTTTCACATAGCCACAAACTTTAATGAATTGCAGAGATTGTTCAGACAGATTTAAGTACTTTTTTTTTCTTGCCATCGAAACGTAAAACTTCAATTCAATGTATTCATATTTTAACTCTATGTTGTGTTCCTTCTGGATCCTTTTTTTTTTTGGTGATGGTGAAAAAAAGTTCTTATGGATATGATTCTCTATACTTTCTGACACTAAATTTTATATGCATGGAGCTTAGCATCCTAAAAAGTGAGCAATGTGTATGCAAAGTTGTTATAAATCATTTCGTAAATTTTTTTTTAACCTCCACCTCCTCATTCACGACAATATTGTGTGCTCTAAAAGATGGAAAATAGCATTTAATACTGTTGCAACTATGAAAAACATCTCACTCTTTAAATAATATAATATATACATGAAAATCATCAGCGACGTAGCTTGAACTTCAAAAAGGGGGGGTGAGGGGGGGAGGGGGTCAAGTCATTAGAAAACTCTAGAAATTTTAATTTTTAACAAAATCAAGCTCATCTCCTCGATACATCACTGGTAACAGTAATGGATTGTTATTCTTATTGTGTGATATTGGTTTTATGTCCATTACAACTGACGCTGTTGATGTGTAATTTATGTTTTCTCTAGAGTTATAAAAAATATATTCTCTCATTGTTGTTTTGTTTCTTTTAAATGATGAAGAGAATGAGGCAAGTCATGGATGCTTTTGAGATTTCTTGAAGTTTTTAGAGCGCATTTTTAGCGTATTTTCCTAAGGAACAATACGCTTTTATCTTCACTTTGGCTGGCTGGCTGGCTGGCTGGCTGGTACCGTGAGATCTCAGCAATGAAAGCATATAGAGCCTTCGGATTTTTTGCATTCAATCCTTGCCATATTGTAGGCAAACCGAATCCGCTTTATGTTTCATAACTTCTTACCAAAACTTAATTAAATTAACTTTTATATGTTTTTTGCAACGACTTAGCCGACTTTTGCATAACATACGAGTTTGATAAAACAATTTCAAATTTCAAAATAGCCGTTAAAATTTTGAACGTTGCTTCATGTAACGTAACTGGATTTTAGTTTTTGAGTTTCTGGATCTTCGTTTTTGGGATTGGATATGACTTTAGAGTTACTGTATCTTTGTTATTGGTGTTGGATATGACATTAGAGTTACTGGATCTTTGTTTTTGGTGTTGGATATGACTAAAGAGCTACTGGATCTTTGTTTTTGGTGTTGGATATGACATTAGAGTAACTGGATCTTTGTTAATGGTGTTGGATATGAGTTTTAAGTTACTGGATCTTAGTTTTTGGGATTGGAAATGAGTTTTGAGTTACTGGATCTTAGTTTTTGGGATTGGATATGACTCTAGAGTTACTGTATCTTTGTTATTGGTGTTGGATATGACATTAGAGTTACTGGATCTTTGTTTTTGGTGTTAGACATGACATTGAAGTTACGGGATCTTTGTTGATGGTGTTGGATATGAGTTTTGAGTTACTGGATCTTAGTTATAGGTGTTGGATATGACATTAGAGTTACTGGATCTTTGTTGATGGTGTTGAATATGAGTTTAGAGTTACTGGATCTTAGTTTTTGGGATTGGAAATGAGTTTTGAGTTACTGGATCTTAGTTTTTGGGATTGGATATGACTCTAGAGTTACTGTATCTTTGTTATTGGTGTTGGATATGACATTAGAGTTACTGGATCTTTGTTTTTGGTGTTAGACATGACATTGAAGTTATGGGATCTTTGTTGATGGTGTTGGATATGAGTTTTGAGTTACTGGATCCTAGTTTTTGGTGTTGGATATGACATTAGAGTTACTAGTTCTTTATTTTTAATGATGGATGTGAATGTAAAGCTACTGGATCTTTGTTTTAGGGGTTGACTATGACTGTAGAGCTACTGAATTTATGTTTTTGATACGGGACATGTTTTAAATGCTACCAGATCTTTAAAATAAAAATCTGGAACGAACTATTAAAGATCTGGTACGAAAAATTAAGGCCCTCAAACGATTTTGAGTTACAACTAAGTTTACTGATCAGTAAGAGGAAAATACGCTGAAGTCGCCCAGATCCAAAGTACTGGCGATCTTTTTACTAGTTTAATTCATTAAGGAAATGTTTATCTATTGCAGTGTTGTTCAAGCTGTGTGCCGCGACACACAATTTTTTTCACTTGTTGTTTGTGACTTTGGTCTTGCTTTGGTCATTGCTTACGCCTAAGATGTGCCATGACTGAAATTTTTTAAACAACTCTGTTTTATTGGATGTTATTCACTCGACGAGAAATAAATTTTAACGATTTAGATCATGTGAGGTCCCTGATTTCGGTTTATTTATAATGCATACATACATTGCTGGTTTTACAGATCAAAAGTCATCCATAGCCTCCCTTAGTTGGCGTCTGAAAAAGACTCTGTCGTTGGCTACTCCTAGCTAAAAACCAATACCAAATGCTATGCTTTGTCTGTCAACAGCTTCTCAGTTTTATTTAATGTACATGCAAATATGGTTTTGGTTCAGAGGTCTTCGTATAGAACCAGAAACCGGGCACTAGGACGTTTTGCAACCAATAAGAGTTTGACAAGTTAAGTTTACCAAGATCATTGGTACTCAAAGCTAGACCAACTGCTTTAAAATGGAGTCCGACTACTTTTCTGATGACATTTCTTCCAGGAGCCTACAAAAGAACGCAATGAACTTCATTTCCAGTACAAATGGTTCGAAACAGAAGAAGCGAAATAATTTCCTATGCCGAGTCTCGAACCCGTGATCACTGTGTCAGTATTGAAATAATAACCAGCTACCGAAGTAATAAACCATTCCGCCACCAAGCTACTTTAGCTAATTCACTTGACATAAGCTGAAGACAATCCGTATCAATTAGCAAAGAATTGTTATTTTAGTCAAAGAACTCAAAGCCCCTCCCTTTTGTCTTAATTCTCAATAACATTTGAAACTCGAACGCTCACTTCCTATTTTGGTCCATAAATATAAATATATTATTCGATTGTTTATTGTTTTTACATACAAATATTTTTATTTAAGCTATAAACATGCCACACGCGCAGAAAATAATATATTAATTACATTATAATAAAGGCAATGTCTACTCACAAACAACGTTTGAATGAATTCTACAAATGGATGGATGGATGGATGGATGTGCTACATGAGAACATGTTTGTACACTTAATTGAAAATTATTGAGTTTCTTGTTGTTATTAGCTCATGTTGAAAATAAAAATGAAGGAAAAAGTTTTTTAATTTTGCAATAATTTTTGTGTACTCATTCGTTGCTGTTAAAATCAATTTTACATTCGCATATGAAATCATATACATGCATGAGTAAACTTACAAGAGTCTTAATAGAAAATTTATTTCCATTATGATTGATTGTGAAAATATAGAAAAAAGTTTTACGTTGCCTGAAAGTAAACAAGTTGTGTAATATGCACCGACTGGAAACAAAGAATTCGCTGTCGTGGAACCTCACAGCATGTTCAATATTCATATTTCACTCAAAATTTTCGCTCAAGTTCTAATTGAAAATTTTGTTTCATTATCGTGCATCTTTCGTTCCGCGCTGTAGATCTCTTATTACATTACATATATTATAATCTCTTGTAATTTAACTCGTGAGTTATTAGTGTTGTCAGCTATGCTGCAAAAGTGCATTGTGAAAATTTTTCATTATAATAAATTTGGATGAATGCTTATTACAACTTATTTGAACAAGTATGGAGCATCAGACATTGCTCTTGTATGTTTTTGTCAGGCAAACAATGATATTTAAGTCTATTTGATATTTGAGGTTAGAATTTTGTATTCAGTAAATTCTAGGTTAACATTTGACTATAAGCTTGCTCAAAAACTAGCTACTATTTTGAATATGAAAATATTTAACCTTTAAAAATCAATTCATAATTCATCCCTTTGCTCCTTAATTTTAAAACTCTTTCCAAAATCCATACCTAAACTACTAAATGGTTCCGTGGCATCGCCTTCCAATGGATGAATTTTTAAATAATTTAATTCCTCCAAATTATTCCTGTTTACTCTTGATTTAATTCTGCCAATTTGTTCAGCAAAAAAGACGATTATTGTAATTAAGCAGCATCCTAGCCAGATATTGAATCCAAAAATGAGATCATCAAGGCTCAAGACTTTTGGTTCATCTTCCAATTTCTCAAACTTCCACTTTTTTGTATAATAATTTTCAATCAAATGTTTCATGACTCCCGTTGGAATCAAATTGTCAATGACATTCTTAAACATTCGATAATAAAATGCAAAATTATGAAACATAAAGGTTTCATAAGTTGTGTACAGAACAACATCCTCCAGTTGATTCCAATCATCATTTCTCTGCTCTCCAAATTCAACAAAGTTTTTGAAATATTCATCAACACAAAGTCCCATTTTGGCTGATGAGTTTTGAGATTGGGTTAAGAATTTATCCATGAAAGCTATTGGAGTTACGTTTAATACTTTTGGCCTATAAAATAAAAAAATCAGTATTTTGCCATGAAATAAGGAAGCATCCGTAATCCAGGAACTAATGCTAGTTCCTCAACTTCATTTTACATACCATCGCTCCGTTCGATACAAATCGCTTGCAAGTTTCTGATTAACATCCATTGCGTAGACTTTATAACCTTTATCAATCAGATCATCAATAGTTTTGGGTGGTGGCTGTCTTGGTTCACTTGTCATGAACTCAAAAAATTTACTTTGAAAACAGGTCCGAAAAATTAAACAGAAATAAATGAACATGATCCAGATGAATCTTGAAAAGTTTGAGTTTGGCAATTTCATCTGTGAAATTCCAAAGAATATGCTGACTATATTCCAAATTGGTGTATCAACTTTGTTACCATAAACTAGATCTTGAACAGATTTTGAGAAGCAATTGATGATAAAAATGACCAAGAATGTAAGAACAAATGTGACACAAAATAGAATCCATGTCAAAAGATCAAAAGGTAGGAAAAACTTCTCATATGGCGTATACTTGTCAGCTGGAGTCACAACCATGTGAACATTCAAATTAGCAACAACATTTGACACTCGTAAATTGTAATTTGCATTGTATAAGCTGATAACTTCGAAATATATTAGTGGTTCAAAGACTGTTTTCTTAATTGGATAAATTGTGATTTCTTCAGCTTTTTCTGATACTAACCAGCCTGCTGGTATGAAGGCTGGCTGATATCGTGTTAAAAAATCATGCTTTTTTGCTGTTATCTCATATATAATTGGTGTTATGCCTTTTATTTCAAAATAAGGAAATTTCGAAGGATCTAAAATTGAGTATCCAGACACATGATACAGATTTCCATCACGATCACTACTTGGAAGCATCATGACCAATTTACATCCATAATATTGTAAGAATTTTTCATAATTTTTAAGTTTAAACTTCCATGACATTGTGGTTTTGTTAAAAATGTTGAGTCTATGGAGATATGGACGATTGCATCCAAATGGACTGAACCATTCAATAGCTGATAAAGTCACTGTATCAACCTCAATTGTAATGAAATATGAATGATGGAAAATTCCTCCAGATATCATTAAAATTTTCCGATAGTATTTATATATCCAAGATGTTCTAACTTGACTATAAGTCAGATTTGGAATGAATATAAAGAACTTAATTGCTTCATCGCCTTTTCGAAAAACTCCAAATTTTCTTTCTAAATTTTCGAAATCGTAAAGTGAACTTAAGAAAATAAAGAAAGATCCGATAAATTTCTTTTTAATGTGGTTATGTTGATCAGCTTTATACTAAAATAGTTTTTGACTAAACTTTTCATTTGAATCTGACAAGAAGTCATTCAAAATATCCTTTAAAAATGCGGATATTGTTTGGATGCTTAATATATTAAATTGAATGTCTTCCTTCACTAGAAACACTTCAGCTATTTCATTTAATATTTGTGAAATCATTTTGATATTTGAATCTATTTGAATTGGCTGTAATGTATTGTTTGAAGAAGTTAAACTTACAGAAATTAAGAAACAAATAAAAATGATTTTTAACATTATTTTAATTCCTTTGGTTTTGACTTTAAGTTTGTTATTGTTTGAATTATTTGACAATAAATAAAACTATTTTTAGTTTTCCTTTGAATTAGGTCAAAAAAAGAAAACAAATTGAATTTATGAATATTTTATTAAGCTGCTTGTTTCTTGTTTTTCAAATGAAGTTTTATCGTTGATTGTGTTAACACGACGAGAAAGATCAAACGAGGAAAAGCTTTCAACGTCATTCATTTAAAGCAGATACGAAAAACTCAAGAGTTTCGACCGTTACAGTTTCCAACAAAAATTGTGAAAATTTCTTATTTATCTGTTTGCCATTCAAAATTCGAAGATTCACACCCTGCAGTTCGAAATTTACGAAAATTAGAAAAGAAAACTTATAATTAAGCAAATTTCATACGAAATTTAGGTGAGAATATTTTGTAATCATTTAATAATAAGCATAATATAATTTGAATTTGAATTTATTCATTTTAGAGATAAATCTATTTTAAAGCGATTAAAAACTCTACTAAAATGACAAAAAATTGTAACGATTTTTTCAAATTTAAAATTTTTCGAACGTGCAAATTATAACACCCCTAGACTTTCAATAAGTCTGTCGAACATGCATTGTTCGTATCAGATTTAAAGCAGATTGTGAAAATTCAATTTCAACAGACCAGACTACCGCCATTTCGTTTCGGACTTCTTCGAAAAGCAAATTTCAAAAAACAGTTACATTATGTTAACAATAAATTATTTTAATTAATACCAATTCTGCACAAATCCCAAAGTTCTTCATTAATTATTAATTTTATATTTTTTTTATCCATTCTCAATTTTATTAACAATAAAATTTGAGCAAAATGAGTAAGTGCATGGTAAAATCTGGTTTAACCGTCAAAAGTTTTTGAATATTATAACGGTCATAAAAAATTTGAATTTTTTTGAATATAAATTTAACGGATGTTATATGAAATGACGGTAGTCTGCAACAGATTTTCTAAATTCTAGGGGTATTAAAATATGCATATTCGAAAATTTCAAATTTTCAAAAACCGTTGATATTTTTTTTCTAATTTACAAGGAATTTTCGAACGCGTTATTAAGCATTTAGCTTTGTTATTATTAAAAATCTTTAATCAACAAACAGAATTAGTAAATTTACACGCAATAATGAATTATATAACATTTTGACTTTTCGAATTTTTCAAAAAATAAGGATTTTAAATTTCGAATTTTTAATGGCAGACATACAAGGTGGCAATTTTTGAAAGTTTCCTAAGAAACTCTAACGGTCATTATTCTTGAATTTCTACCATCTGATTTAAAATTCAGGCAATCAACTGATTTAACTTTTATTTTAATTTTTTGTTTTTCAACTGAATTATTAATTATTCTTGTAGGACTTACAACAATACTTTAAGCAGTTAGAAACTCAATAAGCGTTCTTAATGTAAACTGTTCCCGGCAACTTGCCAAAATGCAACACTTAAACTTAAAATTCTAAATCAATTGAATAAGGATCAAGGAATTTTATATTTCTATTTTGACGTTTAGTTGTTAATTGTTTTCTAATTCTAAATGTATTTACTAATTTTGGATTCATACTATTATTTATTTCAAAGCTTTTATTTAATTCTGAAAAAACTTTTGCAAACTTTACTTTAATTTTTTCTTTAGAACTTACAAAATACTTTAATTTTTCAAGAATAAACGTAGCAAATGAAATTAAGCAACAAGCAAACCAAATCTTAAAGCCAAACAAAAGATTATCGATGGATAATACTTTTGGACGTTCTTCAACTTTTTCGGATATCCACTTTTTGGTATAGTATTTTTCAACTAAATGTTTCATTACTCCTGTTGGAATTAGATTGTTGATGATGTATCTGAGCATTCTAAAATAGTATGTATGACTCCAGAAAACAAAAACATCATGAGTTGTGTACAGAATTGTATCTTCAATCATGCTCCATGTATGTTGTCGTTTTGAGTTTGTTTCTACAAAGTTTAAATAGAACTCATCAATGCACAAGGCTAATTTAGCTGTTGAATTTTGAGATTGAAATGAAAAAAGTTTGTGAAATTTTTGATTGTCTATTTCCTGTATTCGTGGCCTGTAAATATAAGATTTAGCATAAAAGACTGCTGAAATTAAATAACAAAAATACAAACCATCGTCTTTCTCTATATCCACCACTGGAAAGGTCTGCATTAACTTCCATTGAGTATACATCATAACTTCTGTCAATCAAATCATCAATTGTTCTAGGAGGTGAGCGTCTCGGCTCACTTTTCATGAATTCAAAGAATTTACTTTGAAAGCAAGTTCGAAAAATCAAGCAAAAGTAAATGAACAAAATCAAAATAAATCTCGAAAAGTTCTTAGTTGGAAGTTTTGTCTGTGAAATGCCAAAAAATATGCTGATCACATTCCAAAATGGTGTTTCAACTTGATGACCATAAACTAGACTCTTTGTAGATTGAGAGAAGCAATTAATGATGAGAATCGACATAAATGTAAGCATGAAAGTAGATCCAAGTAATATCCAGGTTGCAAGATCAAATGGTAAGAAAAATTTCTCGTAAGGTGAAAACTTCTCAGCTGGAGTTACGAACATCCGAACACCAACATTGGCAATAACATTCGAAAATCTTATGTCATATTTTACAAATAATGGAATTGCAACTTCAAAGTATACATTTGGATTTTTGAGGGTTTCATTTATAAGTAAAGCGAAGGCTTCTGAACTGTCTGGATATAATATGTAGTTATTGTCTACATTAATAGGCTGATAACCAACGCTAAAGTTTTGATATTTTCCAGCAATATCAAATATGATAGGCGTTATTCCATAAACTTCAAAATCAGAATTATTTTTGTAGACTTTAGCATAGCTTGATACATGTTCCGAAGTATCACCTTTAGGAACGACAGGAACGCCAAGAACAAGTTCACATTGATTGTACTGCAAATACTTTTCATAATTTTTAAGCTCTGAATTCCATTTTAAGTGCTCTTTTGAAAAAGTATTGATTTTATTTAAAAATGGACGATTACATTTGTTTGGACTGAACCATTCGAATGTCGACAAAACAATCGATTCCTTTTCATTTGTGATGAAAAACGAATTGTGTAAAAAATTTGTTGAATCCATTAGAAGTTCTTTGTAGTGTTTGAGAATCCATGCATCTTTTAAACTTTCATATTTGAGGTTTGCAATGTAAATGATGTAAATTATTGGTTGATTTTGATATCTTACGCTTTGAAATGTTTTCTCTAATGCCTCAAAGTTGTCTATTGACTCAAGAAATATTATATTTGAATAAGGTAAGAAAATTGATTTTTTTGTGTATAATAATTTATAATATCGGAATCGATATCGAAACTTTTCCGTATTCTTTGATAGAAAGCTTTGCATGATATCCGATGTAGTTTGTGGTAAATTTCCAAAAGCATGAATATTAAACACAATTTTATTGTTAACGAAAAATACATCAACTATGTTATTTAATACATTTGCAATCATTTCAACATCCGGATTGATCTCAATAGGACGCACAGAGCTTTCACACAAGCTAATAAGATGTGTTAGGAAAAAATAACTCCATAAAAGTTGCAGTCTTAAATTCATTTGCTGTACAAATTTCTATGCTCCCTAGTAGGTGCACAAAATAAACTAGAGTAACCTACAATTCCTTTTTGACCAAAAAAAACACAATTCAATTATGAATATTTAATTTCTATTTTTGTTATCATTACAATTTAAGTTTAATTCATTCCACAATCATCACAAGCTATAAAAACAAATTATTCTTTATATTTAGATTGTGATAAACTTGATCTTCATCAAGTTTGGTTAAAAGCTTAACATTTTCAATAAATAACTCAAAAAGGGTGCAAAACTAATCAAAATAACTCAAAAGGGGTGCGAAACTAATCAAAATAACTCAAAAAGGGTGCGAAACTAATCAAATAATGTTCGAAATCGATCAAAAATCATATGAATGATTATTTCGCATTCCTGATGATTTAACGATTGGTTTTAAAAACTATCTAGTTAAGTATTGAAAATTTAAGGATTTATAAACATCAATCGCACTTTTATATTCCAAAACATGACTCTTAAGTGCCTTCTTATAAAATGTTTTGTTTTCATCAAAAATTCATTTTTGCAAGCTTTTTCTTGTGCACTTTCAAATCTTCTTTTAATTCTAAATTTTTGAACCAATTCTGAACTTAATTTACATTTTGATTTTGATCTACTATCTTGGATTGGTTGAACCTTCATATATCTCATTTTCCGTGGCTTTGTTAAGAATTTCATAACACATTCAAAGACAAAAATGATGGATGACACTAAACAACATCCAAACCAAATGTTAAAGCCAAATAAAAGATTATCAATATTCAAGACACTTGGTCCATCTTCTAGCTTATCAAATTTCCACTTTCTTGTGTAATGTTCTTCAATCAAATGCTTCATGATTCCAGTTGGAATTAAATTATTAACAATATTTTTAAACATTATAAAGTAATATGAATAATTCCAAAAAATAAAAACTTCATAAGTTGTATACAACACAGAATCTTTAAGTTGATTCCAATAAATTCTCTCCTTTGTTCTAGATTCGAGGTCATTTTGAAAAAATTCATCTACACACAATCCTATATTGGCTGATGAGTTTTGCGATTGTGATTGAAATTTTTTCATGAAATCAAATGGATCTAATACATTGATATTTGGCCTGGCAAAGTAAAAGAAAATTGATCATTTTAAATAAAATAATATTTATCCAGCAAATTACCATCTTGTTCCTCTATTTTCACCATTGGATAAATCTTTGTTAGCATGCATTGAATACACATCATATCCTCTGTCTATTACTTCATCTATCGTTTGTGGAGCTGGTCGTCTTGGTTCACTTGTCATGAATTCGAAGAATTTACTTTGAAAACAGGTTCGAAAGATGAGACAAAAGAAAATGAACATTACTAGAATGAATCTAGAGAAGTTCTTCGTTGGCAGCTTCGTTTGAGAGATTCCAAAGACTATGCTGATAACATTCCAAATTGGCGTTTCAATATTCTGTCCATAAACTAAGCTTTTAGTTGATTTTGAAAAACGATTTATAATCAGGATTGTAAAAAAAGTTGATAAGAATGTCGTACTCAATAAAATCCATGTCTGTATGTCAAATGGCAAAATAAATTTTTCATATGCTGTATACTTTTCAGCAGGTGTAACAAACATACGAACGTTTACATCTACAATTACATTAGAAGCAACGAAAGCATTATTTAATTTATGTAAGCTTCTAACTTCAAAAAATACATTTAAATGCTTTATATTTCCATTTATAGGAAAAATAGCAATGTTTGTTGACTCAGAATTCATCATTAAATTTCGCTCAACGTCAATTGGTTGAAACTCAGCACTAAAATTATGAAATTTTCCTGCAATCTCAAAAATTACTGGAGTGATTCCAAAAACTTTAAAGCTTGTTTGATTTTCATTAAGAACAGAAAATCCAGATACATAAAATATGTTTCCAATTTTGGTAGGCACTGGTAAAGCTAGCACAAGCTCACATCCATGATATTCCATAAACTTTTCATAATTTTCCAAATTTGATTCCCATTTCATTGACTTTTTATAGAAAGTATTTAGCTTGTTGGAATATGGAGTATTACATCCATATGGACTAAACCATTCGAAGGTTGATAAAGTCACAGTTTCTTCCTCATTTGTAATAAAATAAGTGTAGTAAAAAATAGCCGACGAAAATAATTTTAGACTTGGATAATGTTGCAGAATCAAAGTTGATTTTAACATTTCATAAGTCAGATTTGGAATGAAAATAAAATGTTTTATAGGCTGATCAAGAAATCGAAGACCGTTGTAGTATTTCTCAATATGTTCAAAATCATCGATTGACTCAAGAAATAAAACATTTGAAAATGCAAACGTTTTTTTCATAAACTTAATGAATCTCGTGTAGTAAAATCTGTAATGAAATTTTTCGTTATTTTTTGCCATGAAACTGCTCAATATGTCCCACGAAAGTGTTGATGGGATTGTCATAGCACGAATGTTAAATGCTATATGATTTTTTATAAGAAATTCATCGACAATGTCGTGCAATACATTTGAGATTGTAATCACATCTGAATTAATTTTGAGTGGATGCAAAATATTTTCACAAAAAGTTGGTTGAATCGCCAGCATTGAGAACAATAAAACACTCCACTTTAGTTCCATTTTAACTGTTTTTTCTTTGACTTTTTATTCAGTAATGTTTGTTATTCGATTTTTTGAAGGTACAACTTTCACTTGATATCTAGATTTTTGACAAATTGTTTTTATATTCAAGATCAAATGATACTGAATGACATGTTTCAGTGTTCAGAATAAGATTATTAAAAATTGAGTTTAGGCTAGAATTTTTGATGTTTGGGACTGGTTCAAGTAAACTTAATAAGCTTTTCTAAGTGGCAAGACTCAAAACCACATGACACAATGTTTTGTAATTCACAGAATCTTTAAAAATAAATAAAATATTAGATGCAACCTATTCATTCTCAATATCAATAAGTTCCAAATTAACAAATTCTATATCATCCATAGCATTATGATCAAGTCTATGAATTTGATCATTTACACATGAGTTTCTGTGTAAATCATTCTGAATTTCTTCATTTATCGTAAACTTTTCATTACTAGAACATTTTGAATCTAATTCTCTATTGTTTTTTTTATCATTAAGCACGACAGCTTTCACTTTGATCCAGTGATTTTGTTTATTTTTGTTTACTGAATTTTGACTTGTATCAACTTTTAATTTTGATATTTTTAAATTTATATGTTTTATTCCTTTCTCAATCATAAAAGTAAAGCATGCGCACAAACAAGTTCCAAACCAAATCTTAAATCCAAACTGTAAATCATCAATGCTCAGAACTTTTGGATTCTTCTCAACTTTTTGTGCATTCCATTTTTTTCTCAAATATTCATCAACCAAAAAGTTCATCAAACCAGATGGAATCAGATTGTTGATTAAAGCTTGAAGCATTGTAAAATAAAAAGAATTGTCAATAAACAGAAAGGCATCAAATGTTGTAAATAGAACGATATCTTGAAGTTGATTCCAGTTTAAACTTTCGTGAATTGAAGATTCTGCTGAATTTTGATAATATTCATCAACACAGAGCGCCATTTTTGCTGAAGAATTTTGAGATTGTGACCGAAAAGCGTCACGAAATTCGTGAGGACTGATCGTTTGTGTATTTGGCCTAAAGTTGGATTCGAAAAATTTAGTATCAAGTTCATCATGCTACTTTCCTCTTGTTAATTTATTAACTTTTTGATATTTCTTGTCAAATTTACAACTTACCAATGTTCAAATCGAAATGCATTATCGCAAAACTCTTCATTAAAGCTTGTTGTGTAGACAGTATAGTTCCTGTCAATTAGATCTTGGATTGTCTTAGGAGGTGATCGTCTCGGTTCACTGGTCATAAATTCGAAGAATTTACTTTGAAAACAGGTTCGAAAAATCAGACAAAAATAAATAAAAAGAACTAAAATAAATCTAGAAAAGTTCTTAGTTGGAAGTTTAGTCTGTGAAATTCCAAAGAATATGCTGATTACATTCCAAATCGGTGTCTCTACATTTTGTCCATAAAACAAGCTCCGAATAGATTTCGAAAATCGATTTATAATAATAATTGACAAAAAGGTCAGCACGAATGTTATGCTTACTAAAATCCACGTTTGATAGTCAAATGGGAGGAAAAATTTCTCATATTGTGTATATTTTTCAGCTGGTGTCACCAGCATGTGTGCATGAAAATTATTTACCACTTGCGAGGCAAGAACGCTATTATGAGCATTGTAAATTGGCAAAAGTTCAAAATAAACATTCGAATAGTTCATTGAAATGATTTCAGTCTTTTGTTTAACTGACCTCCAATCGCTTTCAAACTTAACACTCTCAAACTGGACAGTAAAGTTGTGAAAATTGCTTGCAATCATAAAAACTTGCGGACCTATTCCACGAACCTTGGGTTCTGAGATACCATGTATCATGTATCCTGACACGTGATCTGTTGGTTCGTTAATATTAATTGATGGCAACATCATGGTAAGTTCACATCCATGATAGTTCATGAATTTATCATAATTTCTTAGCTCCGTTTTCCATGACATTGATTTAATGTCAAAACTATTAAGTTTATTCAAAACTGGACTGTTGCAGTTATTTGGACTAAACCATTCAAATGTTGATAATGCGACTGTATCCAAATCTATAGTTATAAAGTATGCATAATGAAAAAATCCTCCAGACATTATATTTAATTTTTGATTATAGTCTAAAATCCATGTTGTTTTTAGATCTTCGTAGCTCGATTCGGGAATGAATATAAAATATTTAATTGGACGACTGTTATATCGACTGACTTTGTAGGAACCTTCAAGAACTTCAAAGTCATCCAGTGATGGAAGGAACAAAATATTCGAATGAATTATAGGAAGCACATACTCTGTGGCTGTTTGGTGAAAGCATAAATAATATCCAAATTTTGAGTCACTTTTCTTCATGAAACTACTCAAAATGTCCCATGAAAAATCAGATGATTCCTTCATTATAAAAATGTTGAATGAAGTTTTCTGTTTTATAAGAAACTCGTCAACAACATCGTACAGAACTTGTGAAATGGCTTCAACACTTGAGTCTGCTCTAAGATGATTTGAAGAGAAATTACAACTAATAAGGTTGAGTTTGGTAATAAAGTTGAGAGCTATGAATATTGTCTTATTGAGAGCCATGATTGTTTATAGAAACTAAAATGCTTGTTTCCAATTAGAGACCGAATGACTACATGAAAAAATGTAGTTTGAAAAAAATATTTGAGGTAGGGTGGGGTTTATATGTTAAGTGACGCAGAGACGTAGTCAGAAAATTTGAAAAATATATTCTTAAAAAATCAAGAAATATTGAAGAAATTACAAAAAGGCATGTTCACTTTTTGAGGACGTCCCTGGTGCTATAATAAAATGTATGAAAAGAAAACACAAAAAAATTACAATTAAACAATTAAAGAAACATTATTTGATATTTGGCCTTTGATTGAGAAGGTAAGAATTCTAAAAAATGGTTAATTTCATTTTCTATAGAAATGATTTAAACAATTTATTCAAAAATCCTTGATTAACTTTTCGAATATACGCCGCTGAATTTTTAGAAATAAGAATTGGTTTAAGCTTTATGTAAATACAAACTTAGATTTAAATACAAGACTTGTCAAAACGTTCATTTGTAATTTAAATTGTAATTATTTGTAACATAGTTGCTTGCCCCTTTTATACAAATATTAACCTAGAACCAGGGCGTGGAAACTCAGGATTAATCCTGAAAAATCCCAAAAATCCTAAAAAAATCAATGAGCCAATAAACATGAAAATGTCAAATCCCTTTTAAATCCCAATAAATTATTCATCAAATGCATCAGTAATTTAAAAGGGATGTCACATTTTCATGGATATTGGCTCAGTTATTTTTTAAGGATTTTTGGGATTTTCAGGATTAATCTTGAGTTTTCACGCCTTGATTTTCCCTCTGCTCAGAACAATAAACATTTTTAATTTTAGGCTGTTTACCAGTTTTTGCCTTGTTACATGTTCCAGTTCAGCTCTGAAATAATGGGACAGACCCAAGGCGTGGATACTGTGATTAATCCTAATAATCCTCAATAATCCCAATAATCTCAATAATCCCAATAATCCTGAATAATCCCAGCATATGTTTGAGTGTCCACGCCTTGGTTAAATTAAGTTAAATTACAAAAAGGCTCTTTAGGGCCGTTCACTTATGACGTTACGCAAAAAACCGACTTTTTTTTCACCCCCCTCCCCCCCTTGTTACAACATGTTACAACTCGCACCCCCCCCCCCCCCCTGAACGTTCATAATTCAAATTCTTTTCGTAAACTTTTTTTTAAAAGACAGACGACAGTTAGAACGTTACATTCTTCTTGACCACCCCTCCCCTCCCCCCTATGTTTACAATTTTTCAACCCCCCCCCCCCCCCCCTAAAATGCGAACGTAATAAGTGAACGGCCCCTTTCCAGTTCTTAAAAATTTCAAAACCCTGTTTTTAATTTTGATTCTTACAATTCCATAATTACATCTTCAACAAAAGTTTCTGTTTCAATCTGCTGCTGGTTGAATTTACTATAACTTGCAGCTGCCCGTACCCTGAACTTATTGATTAACTCTAATTTTAATTCATAATCTGAGTTCATTTCAAAATATTTCGATGGATGAACTTTTGCATGTTTTTGTGGTTTTGCACTAGATCTAAAATATCTAAACAAGAATTCTCCAATAAATGCAATAATTGAAGTCAAACATGATCCTAACCAGATTTTGAATCCAAACAAAAGATCATCAACATTAAGAACTTGTGGCTCTTTTTCAATTTTATCAAATTTAATCTTTTTCGTGTAATTATATTCAATCAAGTGATTCATAATTCCCGTTGGAATCAAATCATTAATGACTTTCTTAAACATTTGAAAATAAAAGGAATTGTCAATGAACAGGAAAACATCATAAGTAGTGTAGAGAACTGTGTCTTTTAGCTGATTCCAGCCGAAATTTTTTTGATGAATGAATTCTTGACTATCGTGATAAAATTCATCAATACAAAGTGCAATTTTTGCTGAAGAATTCGAGGCTTGCTTAAAGTGGGCATAGTCAAAAGCATTTGGTGACAAAACTTTAATATTCGGCCTATAAAGTAAGAAGAATTAATAATCGCATTTATTGATAATTCCAGAAATCTTACCACAGCTCTTTACGATAAGTATTGCTACAAAATTTGAATGTTTGACTCATTGTAAGTACGCTGTATCCTCTATCAATCAGGTCATCGATGCTTTCTGGAGGCGACCGTCTCGGTTCACTCGTCAAGAACTCAAAGAACTTACTTTGAAAACAGGTTCGAAATATCAGACAAAAATAAATGAAAAGAACTAAAATGAATCTGGAGAAGTTCTTAGTTGGAAGTTCAGTCTGTGAAATGCCAAAGAAGATGCTGATCACATTCCAAATCGGTGTGTCTACATTTTGTCCATAAAACAAGCTTTGAACAGATTTTGACAGCAAATTTATAACGAAAATCATCACAAAGGTCAGCACAAATGTTATGCTGACTAAAATCCAGGTTTGAAGGTCAAAAGGTAAGAAAAATTTCTCATATTGTGTGTACTTTTCAGCTGGAGTTACAAACATCAAAACTTTATGATTCGCCACAACATTTGATGTCGCAACTCCTTGATAGATGTTATACATTGTTAATACTTCAAAGTAGACATTAGTGATCTTCTGGTCAGTATTATTTGACTCAACAATTTCTGTTGGATTCTCAACATTTTCCCAGCTATCGTCCATTTGAACTCCTTGAAAATCAGTTGTAAAATTATGAAATTGGCTTGTGATTTCAAATATAATTGGCGTGATTCCAACCATTTTGTCATTTGAATCGGATTTACTCTTTAAAATGTAGCCTGATGGGTGATAATTAACACTATCAAGTGTGACTAATGGAAGCATCATGACTAATTCACATCCATGATAATTTAAGAATTTTTCGTAATTCTTTAGTTCCGATCTCCACTTCAGAGACTTTTTATCAAAAACATTGAGTTTCTTTAAATAAATATTGTTGCATTCATTCGAACTAAACCATTCAAATGTTGATAAAGTCACAGTTTCAGCTTCATTTGTGATAAAAAATGAAAAGTGAATAAAACTTCCAGAAAAAATGTTTAATTCAGGATAATAAATTGAATCCAAAAATGACTCTAAGTCATCAAATGTCAAATTTGGAATGTAAACTATAAATTTAGATGGTCGATCGTTGAATAAAATGATTTTAAATGATTTTTCAAGAATGTAAAATAAGTTCAGCGACGGAACAAATAAAATATTTGTTTGAGTCATAAAAAATCGATGACTTTCATCAAATCTTCTATGAACAAAAAGAATGTATTTGAATTGTTCATTATTGTTCTTCATAAAGTCACTTAATACATCCCATGAATGTGTGGAATCAATATTAACTGCGAAGATGTTGAATGAAATTTTCTGTTTTACTAGAAATTCATCAGCAACATTAAACAGAACTTTTGAAATTGGCCCAACTTCGTGATGATTTAAAGCAAATTTGCCAATTATTAAATTGAGAAAACACAAATACACAATAACAAATACAAGCAGCATAATATAAACTGAAGGAATCCTGTAAATTTTATTTTAATTGTCAAACTATTTTTTGTTCATGAATAATTAATTTTTTATAGACATTTACAATATTAAGTATGCTTTAATCAGGACGTGAAATCAGGATAGTACAACAATATTAAATTTACAATAGATCAGTGATGGTCAACCTTTTTTGTGATGGTCAATATTTTTTGTGATGTCCAACCCTCAGCATACGGTTCTTGAGATATCCCAAGTTTTTTCACAGCACACTGGTGTGCCGTGGCACATGGGTTGGACATCACTGTAATAGATCATAGTGAAATAAGGCCCGGAAACTCAATTTACAGTTGAGATAGCTGGGTCTGGTTTTAAGGGCTAACCGGGGCACCCTCCCTTAGTCTCGGAATAATTTTATTCATATCACAAATGGAAGTCCATCTAATTTCATTTTTGCCTTAAAATGCCCCTGGATGACCTAGATACCAGCATCAGGCAGGTGCGTAGTAAGGGAAGGGGGGGTTTTGGGGGAAAAATCCCCCAACGTAAACAGAAATTTCTTTATTTTGCTAGGGTTTTTATGAAAAAATCACAAATTTACCCCCCCCCCCCCCCCTTAAATTTTTCCAAACAAAAAAATTTTTGAACCCCCTCTTCAAATTCCTGGCTTCGCCCCTGGCATCAGGTAAGTGCCTGTTACTTACACCTGCTTATTTCAACACTATGCCAACATTTCAATCAAACAAATTCCAGTGATGCAAACTTAAATCATCAATTTCATCATCCATAGACTGATGAACATCCACGAGTATTTCAGCTTCATTGAGATTCCCCTTAATAGCTTCAATCTTCCTTACTCTAAATTTAGCAACCAATTCTCTCCTCAACACAACATCAACTTCTATCAAATGACTTTCTAATGGTTGAACTTTTTCAAATCTGACTTTTTTTGGTGCCTTGTACCAACTGTAAATCTTCTCACCTACATAAGCTATTAATGAAGCTAAACAGGATACAAACCAGATTTTAAAGCCAAACATAAGATCATCGAGTGTCAAAACATCTGGATTATTCTCTTGCTTGTCAAATTCATAGCGTTTGGTGAAATATTGTTCAACCAATAGCTTCATAATTCCAGTTGGAATCAAATTATTGATAACATTATGAAGCATTCTAAAATGATATGCATAGTTCCAAAACATGAATGCATCGTACGTTGAGTATAAGACAGTCTCATCAAGTCGATTCCATCTGTGATTTTGTCTTGTTTGTGATGCTATATTATTTATAAAAAATTCATCGACACATAGAGCTATTCTGGCTGTTGAATTATCTGCTTGCGTTTCAAATGCATTTTTAAAGTAACCAGATGATGTAACTGTAATGTTTGGCCTGAAAAGACATTGTTTAAGATTTATGAATATTAGAAGTATCAATTATAATCATAAACCTTCAATAACAGGAAAAGAATGCCTTTCTGGTAAACTTTTGAATTCCAAACCACGCGCCGCAGCACACAGCTTGAGAACAACTGATGTTAAAGTATCTATAAGCATACTTACCATCGCTCATGCCTTTCGAATCCTCCAGAGTATTTTTCATTGACATTCATTGAATAGACTTTATATTCTCTATCAATAAGATCTTCAACCTCTTTTGGTGGCGTTCGTCTTGGCTCACTTGTCATAAATTCAAAGAACTTACTTTGAAAGCAGGTTCGGAAAATTAAGCAAAAAAATACAAAAGATGTGAGAATGAATCTTGAAAAGTTCTCGGTCGGCAGTCTTGTTTGAGACACTCCGAAAAAGATGCTGATCACATTCCATATTGGTGTCTCAACTTTATGACCATACACTAGATTTCTTGTGGATTTAGAGAAGCAGTTGATAATGAAAATTATGGAAAATGTCAAGGCAAAAGTAGATCCAAGCAAGAACCAAGTTTCTAAATCAAATGGCAAGAAAAATTTTTCATATGGAGAATATTTTTCAGCCGGAGTCACAAACATAAGAACATTTAAGTTTGCAATGACATTTGACATTCTCATATTGAAATTTCCATGATGTAAACTTAATGTTTGAAAATAAATATAAGGCTCGTGATTGAAATTCAGATTCGTCTTGATACTATCGAAATGTGTTTGTTGTCTTGTTATCCATTCCGGTTCCATATCGATTCTTTTGTACTTAGCTTTGAAATTGTAAGGTTTTGATGCAATTTCAAATATTTTTGGTGATATTCCGTACGGTTCAAAGGATTCTCTTGATGCATATCCTGATACATGATAAATAGTGTTGTCTTTTGCTGGAAATGGAAGTAACATCGACAATTCACATCCATGATATTGCAAGAATTTCTCATAATTCATAAGTTTTTTAATCCATTTCATTGACTTTTTGTTAAAAGTATTCAATTCATGCAGATATGGCTTGTTACATCCATAAGGACTAAACCAATCAAATGTTGATAATGTCACTGTGTCCATTTCATTTGTAATAAAGTATGAATAGTGAAAAAGTCCCACAAAGCTGACTGGCAATTTTAAGTAGAAATCTAAAATTTTCGTTGATTTTAAATTGTTAAAAGTCAAATTTGGAATAAAAACAATGTTTTTGATCGGCTGATTTTGATATCGCATAAGTTTGTAAACTAAGTCAATATTTAAAATATCATTAATTGAGTTAAGGAATAAAATATTTGAATGCGGCATGAACAGATACTTCTGTTATAATGCTTTAGGAAACAATAATCGAATGGAAATTTTTCTATCAGATTTAGACAGAAAATTATTTAAAAGATCCAATGATAAAAATGAAGTCTCACTAGTCATAAATGCGTCAAATCTGAGCTTTTCCTTCTTAAGGAATTCTTCAACAACATCGTCAATAACTTTTGAAATTGTCATCAAATCTTCATTAACTTTAAATTCATTAAGTCCTTCACAAATTATTATTTTAGCTATAAAACTGACTAGAATCGCTGCTGCTGATTTTTTAACTTTGAAATACATGTTGAATGTTAGAATTTTGATAAAATATGGTGGAATGAGTTTCTCGCTCCGACTGAAAGTACTTCAATTCAACTATACATTGACGCTAAGAATCAAGAAGTTCATTAGTTGTTGAACATGTGTCGCCAGAGGTTGATTGAGTGCAAAAACCATCATTTTCTCGTCCATTACTATAAATTTGGTCCACAAAAAGAAGATCATTTTTAAAATTGTTAGAGATAAAGTCTCCCTCCCTCCCTCCCCCCCCCCCTCCCCCCCCCCCCTCCTCCCCCCCCCCCTCCTCCCCCCCCCCCTCCTGCTACTCCTACTCGAAGTCTGACTATGTCACTGGTATCAACATTTGTATTTGTTTTACATTTTGTTTGATTAAATCTTTTTTATATTGAAACATAAAGCATGAACTGTTTGAAGCTATAGTCAAATTTAAATATTTGTTACTACTTGGAAAGTTGTAAGTTATGTTGCATGCAATTGGAACCAAGCAGAACAAAGCTGCAAGGGTGCAGTCAGGAATTTGAAGAAAGGACAAAAAAAAATTTATGAAAAAAAATTATTTTTGGGAGGGGGGGGGGGGGTTATTTTTAGGATTTTTTTTATAAAAACCCTAGCAAAATGAAGAAATTCTGTTGATTTCTCACCCAAATCCCCTCCTGGCTGACGCGCCTTGCAAAGCTAGGCAAGAGTTTTAGTTTTAAAAAAAGGCACTAAGATCGGTGGCTTAAAATATACTTACTAAGCCAGCTTACTAAGGTAGCTTCGATCTCTGATAAAAAACATTAAAATTGTCAAAAAATAACAGCAAAGGTCTGAAAGTATCGCTGTTTGATCCTTAATTAGGTGCTTAAAATCTCAAAAGCTCTCCTGACTGCGCCTTTCCCAAAAAGCACAAGTTTGTTAAGGGGTTGTTCACCTATGACGTCCAAGGAGGGGCGTGTCATCAAGAAAAGAACAATAGAAATTCCTGGAAATCCATTGTTCGTTTTTAAAAAATGACCGTTAATATCGGACGTCATAAGTGAACGACTTCCAATCAAAATCAAATCCAGAATATTCCAGCTTGGTCCTGGATTACCATTAGATTAACCGACTTGTTCTTTTCAGATTAGTTTCAAGTTCTCAACCAAATGAATCTTGAACCTATTTTACAGTTCATAAAACTTCATTTGACTTTATCACAAATTAAAATGCTCAAAATTGACGTTACCAGCACCTTTATTATTAACTCAGCGAACATTATCCGTAAAAAAAAGTCTCAGATTTCACGTCCATTCTGCTAAGGTCAGATAGATGTGCAAAAATAAAAATAAAGAATTTTTCGGGGTAAAACACACAGACGAGGGTGGGTCGAAGAAAATTAATATAAATGGTCAATATTAAGCAATATTAGATTTTGTCTTGTATGTGCACAAAAAAAATTGTAGAAAAAAAAAAGTAAAATAACAGAAGAAAATATATTAAATATACTTGACTTCTCCTTAGCTTGCCGTTACCGTAGCGTCTCGGCAAAATTTTAATGATGTTGTTGTTTGTTCGTTGAATAGCAAACAATTTTATGCTCATTCTCTCTCCGTCTCTCAGTTTCTAGCGAAAATAGAATGTATATAATGTTATATTATGCAAGAATGAGATTTTTATTATTTTTGTTATTATTTCTTTATTTTTCACTTCTTCTGTTCAACGCAAATTCGTCGCTATAGTGAAATCTTATTAAGAAATATCATACACTGCCACAAAGCATTGCTAATTGAAGTGCTTTTTGAGCCTTCTTAATGCAATTAAAAAAACTTGCTAAGCTTTAATTTTTTTATGGATTTTGAAAGCCTCTTGAATTTTTTCTTAAAGCATTTTGGCTGTTGTGGAGTCTGAGCAAAGTCTTGGATATTGAGCTACATATAGTCGAATCTTTCAGTATGACGTAAAGGCCTATGTGGTGCTAGTCGTTAAGCAACAGACCGGAACTCTCTTCTGTAAGGATGTGGGTTCGATTCCCACCAGAAATTGATCTCACAATCATTTTAAAGAGTGTTGTCGATGTAACAAGGATGCACACAATGCTCACGACAAGCAGATGGTCCAGGCTTTAGTCGTCCTTAAACTTACAGCATCTCATTGAAGTCACCTTCTATGACGCAGCACCCCAACCATTCTATCATTAATTCAAAATATATTTCATATTTCTATTTATTGTAAGCTCTATTCCAGAATCTCACGTGTTCAAAAACACGACTAAATCTCTACAACTCATTCAATTGTATTTCTCGTTTGTTGCATAAGATGCTGAATATTTTTTTTTAAACCAATGACTCTCTTTCATTTTCATATTCTCCTCGTCTCCTTCATTTCATCATGATTGTATAACAATATTTTATTCCTATATAGTAATACATAGCATATAATGTGCATTATGTTAAAGGCAGAAGATGTCTATGTCTATATATATATTTGTATGTACTTATTGTATTCATAAAGACAACATCTACAGTGTGAGGAGCATTACATTTTAGTTATTGTATATAGTTTGATATTTTTTCGGTGGGTGGCAATATGATATGTATGTGCAATGAATTATGAGCGCTTTATAATTTATTGTTTCCATATTGAAATATGTCATGTCATGTTTATAGTATGAACAAAACAATATAACAAGCTTCAAGTCTAATTGAAAATAAAGCTTCAATAATAATAAACTCACACTTGTGTACGAAATAGCAACAGCAACAGCATAATGGCAACATGATATCGACATCGACATGCGAGTAAACAATTACATAGAAATTTATTACGAGTAATGTAAAATAACAAGGATCTTAGTGATATTCACTTACATTTTTACCCCCGCTTCCCGTGCAATTTCGCTTCATTCACGAAAGCATCTTCATTTATAATGTACATTCAGTGTACAGCATCAAAATATGCTTTTGGCATGTTATATTATAATACAAGTGAAATTAATTTAAGTTCATTGATTATCATCAAGAGACTGATAAATTGTTAAATAATGACACGAAATTGAATAAAATTAATGTTGCAAAAAAAATAATATTCCTTTGTTTATGTACTGATGATGTCCATAAATTTCTCCTTACACAACATGTTCTCCATGACTTCTTAATTCAAAGATAGTAATGAGGAATATAATTTTTTTTCGGGGGTCTTAATATAGCATGATGATGTAACTTTAACTGTGCCTTAGCATGACATTTTCTTCTATATATTTATGTACTTATCTTTCATTAGACTCAATATATCTCATTTTACTTACTGAAAGGTTTCCATTTACCTCGAATGAAAAAGGAAGACAGATCTTTATCATTATAAGACAGTAAGTAAGTAGGTATGGCTACTATTTATACTTGTACATGGGGTGTCCATCGATTTTTGAGGAATAACTGGTGTTGGGGTCGTTCATAAATTATATCTATCAGTAAAAAGGGAGAAATGTCTGTGAAAAGATGAGAATGGGAGGTAGGAATTAAAAACATTATTCATAAATAGACGTCATTCATGAATGACTCCTGGTAGGGTCGTTCGCTTATTACGTAACACTATAAATGTCTTTTGGACTCTCTTTCCCATGCCCAGTCGTAAAATAAATAAGTGATTTGGAGCGTAACAATGCTGAGACTCCACCCCCATCCTCCCTAAGTCTTACAAAACATACGAACCACCCCCATCCTCCCTAAGTGTTACAAAACATACGAACTATGTACTTATGAATGAACTATGTAGTTTTAGATAGTTTTAATCATGAGCAATGGTTTCTTGACAATAAAATTTTATTAATAAGAAAGTGTAAGTGGAATTAGAGACTTCCTAGACCCACTCTTCTAGACAACCATTCATGATCCACAAAACTGTCTCATATAAAGCCCACAAAGAAAAGAATTCAACATAAACACGTTTTACGAGAACTCTAGTACGAAACTTACATAGCAGTCGGCAGTAAACAATAAAATTAAATGCCTCCCAATTGAAGAAATGCGTGTCTTCAAAGAATAAATTACAATCCAGTTTTATATGTCCCAAGCACGTGACAATATTTTCATGTCAAAAAAGTTCATTGAGATGGCTTCGTCTTTAAAATAGCCAGTAGGTATTTATAATGTACTTATTCAAAGGAATGGGAAGTCAAAATGGTAAACAGAACATTAAGTACTTCGTCGATTTGTATATAAATGCACGAATGTGCGACAAAAAAAAACTTTTCTTTCTAAGTGGATGGAGGCTTGTGTTTGGCTGCCTAGCATCGCTTTTAATTAGCATTTACAGAATATATATATAAATACTTCATGTACACACGACGACATAGAAATGAGAAATAATAATATAAGGTATACAAGATGACAACAAGCGACAACTTTTAATTCGCTAAGCGCTTTTACTAATTGAAAGCGAAATACACGCAATTAAGGAACGAACTTTTTTTAATGCAATATTTTTTGGGAAGTTGTTACATGAAGAAACAGTTTTTTCTGGTGAAATTTGTCACGTGAAGCTGGTTGGGATCGTATTTAATGATGAAATATAATTTTAAAATTAGTTTTAACTAAGAATCAAGAGGGGGATTGGGAAGAGCTCAAAGTCGATAGGGTTCGAGTCAACTCGGATCGACTCGACTCGGGTCAGCTCGAATTGACCTTAATTTTTCTGAGTCGACTCGAGTTGACTTCTAGCTCTTGGATTAGGAAAGCCGAAGTTAGACTCCGAATGTCAGTCAAGTGCATACATACCTTCTCGTGGTATCCCTTGATACTGCTAAATGCACCGTTTGTGACTGAGCCCTGTGCCAGAACATGTTCTTTAAAGGATAGATTAAAAGACTATCCAAACAACCTCGCCTGTTGGGTGGCAGCACCATATTCAGGCTAGGGATAATGAGGTTTACAACCAACCATTTCCAAAATAAACATGGAAAAAGAAAGCAACACAAGGTAAGAATCAAGAGTTATTGAAACTGTGAAGATAGTTTTTACCCGAGCGATAAAAAGTTTATGTCAAGG